TGAATGCTTCAGGGGTCTTTTCCTCATGAAAACCAAGATTTCTTCTTACCTCCTCAACAACCTGCCAGTTAAATATTTAATTAGTTGCAGACTGGAAAGACTACATTAATAAAATTTTAAAAAAGCATTAAATCCCCACAGCGGATTGAGGACAGGATATTGAAAGTAAAGAAAGCATTAACCTATTTATTATATACATGACAAAAAATTACTGCAGTCTGATTGCTTAAGAGGAGTGCAATTATTTCATTAATTATTTATCTTCTGTAATCAGTGGCAAATACTGCAATTTCATTGGTTTACAGGAGTGCGATTTGAGCATTAATCGCACCTTTTCTGAGCTGTAATCGCACTCTTGTCTACAACCAATGACAATCAGTCTAGTATTTACAACTAGCCAATCAGCATTCAGGATACAAACTTTGAATTTTATTTTCTTTATTGCTGTAAAAAATTCAAAATGGAGGAATTCACAAATTTTGAAAATTTTGACCTTTTAATTTTTAAATCAGCCCTCGAAAACCGTCAAAATTGAGGTCGGAAAAAAAATGCTGACCTAAATCTGACCTAGCTCGGTACAACTCGGCATTTTTTAAAATCTGTTTCCATGTTTTGGAGCACTAGGTGCCTGCACTAGTAATCACGTATTTACGAATCATTGAAAAGTATAAATGTCACGAAGGCTTTTCTTTTAGAGTGTTACCTAAATTATTAAATAATACCCGTTAATTCTTAAACCTTACACCAAAGTGTATCGAATTCTATAATCGCTGACTTTTTAACAGCTATTAGCACCAAAAAAGTTTCTTACTTTGGCCGAATTAAGGTCGGCAAACTTGGGAGGTTGATAGGTTGGCATTTTAATACGTCTCCAAAGGTCGGCATATTTGCCGAATGCCGATCTCGTTTTCGAGGGTTGTTAAATTATACATTTTCTGACGAAAATGACCTACCTGTTCTTCCAGCAGAAGACACCGAACTAGACACAACCAGAAGTTACATTTCAATCAAATTCAGATAATTAACTGAACTAAACAGCTTCGCTATTTTGAACACGTTATAAATATACAAACATGGCTTCCCAATTATAATTGTGTGTTGAATAATTCAAACAAATGTTGTCATGTGATATATACCGGAAATAATGCCCGGAAGTTAATAATATGCTAATTTGATTATATATGATAAATAATAATTCAAAATTGTACTATTTCACTAAGAATTGTCGTGATAAAAATTTAATAATTATATTGAATTTCAACAAATTGTATTTTTGTGCTTTTCCCCCTTAAACAGTTTGATTACAGAAGATAAATAATTAATAAATAATAGAACGAATTAAGTCGTACTATTAATGCCATAATCATACTCGTGATTAACAAATCAACCTCCCGCTACGCGGTCGGTTGATTTTGTAATCACTCGTATGATTATGGCATTAATAGCACTCCTATTCGTTCTATTACCATCATTAATTGCACTCTCCAGGAGTGCAATTAATTATTTTCGTGATGGCTGGGGGGAGCGGGAAATCAAAACTGAACAAAATCCAACATGGCAACGAAATTTAGATAAGTATTCCTAACAAAAGTGGACGAATTTAACTCAATTTTGGCACAAGAATGAGTTTAAAAAACATTGTATGGCAAAAAGAGCCTGTGGAAAATACCTGGAAACAGTTTTAAGAAATAATCTTGGCGGGATGCAGCGAAACGTGACTATGTAAGTTTGAAATACAATTTATAAAGATTTTCTTAGTCTAAAATATGTTGTTTGAGTTTGAATCTTGTGTTCTAGTTTAAGTTATGTGCCTTTATGAGTTTATAATCAATTCCCAAATTTGTTTATACCAAATTGCTTACAAAAGAATAAAAAACTCTTGACAAAATGCAGTTGCAATATAAAGAAAGCGATTTTGTCATTGGCACATTTTTCAAATATCACTCGTAGTGTTAATCATTAATTGCACTCCTTCCTGTGTGATTACCTATACTAACTGGTAGCGTGCCCAAAAGTGGCAGAAGACTACTTTAGCTCCAGCACAGTATCTATTGAATAACAATGCACTACTACATAAAGCTGTACTTACTTCATTGGGATCTTTGAAACATGGATACATTTCCAATACCTTGCTAGCTCGACTCTCTTTTCTTGTATCTCTAATTAATTTTCTTCTAGTGACAAAGTCAAGGTTGAGATATTTGTTTATCACAGATGACTTGGGTTTTGCCTTTCTTTGTTCCTTGTCCAATGACTTATAATGTCGTTCTGCCACACCAGGATCTTCAACATCTTCAGTTTCACTAGTAGAATTGCTATCAGTAGTCTTGTCACTAGGCATGTCACTGCTGGATGATTCACTTCTCTTTATGTCTTTGCCTATACAACCATACACAAGTGGATCAAACACAGGGAAATAGCAGAAGGGAGCAAAAGTTCAATTCACTACCTAAGCGATAAAAACAGATTCGATTAACCTAACAAAAACCGCGGTTTAACCTCGGTTTGACCGCGGTGATTTAATGGTTTGACCTCGGAATCAGAATGCATTTTAAAACCGCGGTTAGTTTCTTGCCAATGCGTGGGCTAAACCGCAAAAAACCCGCCCGATAACCGAACGCTAACCGCACGCTAACCGCAAAACGACCGCAACCGCAGTGTTATAGGTTAATTCTGAGCTGTACTGTATAGGTAGTGAGTTGAACTTTTGCTCCCTTCCGATGTTGTTATCTGCTACCTACACTGACCAAGTATTGAAGTCAATCTATACCAGAAGGTTGAAAAAACCAGCAGGAATTGGAAAGGGTGATTACTGGGCACTGTAGATAAAAGAAACATCTGAATAGACTGGGGGCCATATACATGCATACTTGTCCTAAGACTTCGAAGTGTAACTTACTGGTGTATTTTTATCACAGTTTTAATAACTTAAAACTGTCAAAGACTTGTGGTTTCAATCTTGTTTTAATACAGTACTTACCAGGAAGTAGCAATCAATAACCATTAGGGAAAAAATAAACAATTTTAGGACAGGAGAATATGCTGCAAAAAAATAAAATTGCTGACATTTGCTGATATATGCATTAGTGAAGAAAAAGGGAAATTTGGAGTGCTAAGATCGTCGGAAATGGCAATTTAAGAGTGTTTTGGATTCCGAAACAAACATTCCTGAAAACATTACTTACATGTAATTTTTTTTTTTGCTCCTCTGTTAAACTAGCCCTTTCTTCGGGCTTTATTTCCTCATAATGTCCATCAGCATTATGTACTCTCTCAAGGCAAGGAAATTTCTGGCACAGGGCCTTTGCCATCTCCTCTGTCTCCAAGGTAGTTGGCTCTCTTGGATTTTTAAGATCATTGCATGCTGATCTCATATTTGAAATGGTGTTTCGCACCAGTTTGTTGACCAAAGTGTCTGATATTGAGTTGGTTTGAGCAGCATGTACAATTTCACTGTCGCAATAGATCACAAATGCAGGAGAAGCTTCAGGTTTTACTACATTTTTATTTCCAGTTAGGTCAATACATAATGGACTCCCTGACTTAACAGGCACCAAAGGTGAACTGCAACAGCTAGAATGTGATTGTGATGATAAACAATTTGTAGGGAGTGACAGACCAGATGCTTGATTTTTGTTTGGAGGAGTCTGGAAACTGTTTGCCACTTCACAATCAAGTGCTCTCTAGAGTAAAACAAGATTCAACTTTCACACTATACACTACACTTTTCACCGAACTACATTATATACACTGTATTGTATGTATTCTACTAGACCACATGGAGTTACTATATAGACTGTTTTCATCATGCTGTTGCTTACAAGAGAACTAAGCATATTTTTTAAAAACCTACATTTTTTTACAACTATGGTGAGCATATCAAATTGAAGTAAAACAAGTAGTGCCTGTGTCTCAATAGATAAATATTGTGTATTGCATAAACCATAAATTTATAGCTTTATAAAGCAAATTCAGCTAATTAATATGTTTTAATTTTGGAGAAAGGTGTTCTGTGTATCTGCCCATGGCCTGTGACACAAAACTGAAAATCATTTAATGATGCCCTGCATTTTTAGACATTCTGAAAAAGCATCAAGCCATATATAAAGGGCTGATGAAGTCTGGAATATTTTTTTTTTCCAAATGACTTGTTTGTTGGGCTTTCCTCAGACCTCTGAATTACCAAAAAATCAGGTCGGCAAAGCTTACCAGCTTTGAATGCAAACAGGTCTACAGCAGGTAAACTTGTGCCGGCCTCACATTTTGATAGGTCGGCAATTGCCAATTGCAGACCCGACATCAGGGGCCTGTAAAAAAAATTCAAACCACAACTAGTAAATCCGAATTCATTTTGCAGTTGCCAGGCACCAAAAAGTTTTTGGATCCTGCAGACTAGTATATACTGTGCTTCGGTACAAATTATGACAAAATATATTAATTGGGTCATTCCAGAAAACATTCATACCTCCTGCACAGAGAAAATTAGAAGTTAATCCTCCCCCCTTCTAAATTGTCCTAATTCAATTAATTACTATTATAAAAAAAATTACGCTCTCCCTCTGGATGGCAGAAATTTCCTCGGGGGGGGGGGCAGGGGGTGAGTTTGGATAATTTTTTAAGTGAACCATTATGAAGTAGTGCAAAATAATATACTGTAGACTAGGCCGGGTGAAGATATGATTGACTTTTTTCAAACCAATATGCCAGTGCCAAACTGTAAAACATTTGGATCACTGGAACTGAAAAACCTGACTCCACACATTGCAAACCTAAAAAATAAGCCCTCCCGCAAATATATAAGCCCACCACAATTTCACTTCAATTGAAATATAAACAACCCTTCAGAATATCACCTTAATTGTTAGTAGCTGTCAATTTTTGTTTTTTATAACCTACTTTAAATATTAGGATGCAGGTACCAGCGGCTTTCCCGGGGGGTCAACCCCCGGGCAACTCACAGGCAACCCCCGGGCATGGCACGGAATTTGTTTTAAAATCACGCCCCGGAGACCGGGGATTTAGCCTACCTTTGTATTTTGAAAATTAACCCCGGGGACAAACGCCCGGGATTTGCATATGGACTGCTGCTATATCGGTCAGTGGTGATTCATCAAAAAATTCTTAATTATGATTTTTGAAGACGCTTCGATCGAGCCTTTGAAGTTCGAAGCCAATTTGAAGCATTTCGAAGCACTTGAACAATATAACATCAATTGCAACTAAGCAGAAACATGTCATGAGAAAACGCATTCAATTGGCTGTCAAAGATGATTTGTTTGGACTTGAAATTTGGATTTGAAATATTGACAGTCAACTGTCAATATTTCAAATTTAGAAACACATTCATATTGGGCGTGGATTAGCTTGCAAACACTAAATCTGTGATTAAATTCGTCTGAATTAAATTCGACGTATGAAACAGGCCTTATATTTTGCATTTATAGTGGACAAATTCAGTATTGCGGTTTGCAATGTTTGTACTAACTTTGTTACGTTTTCGCGGGAAAAATAATTGTAAACTGTCAAATGTTTCCAGCAAAATCAGTCATGTAAAGTTTGAAGTCCAAACATGTTATGTTTCATGTCCAATTATAGCTTGCGTAGCCGGCGGTTTTAAGGGTTGGGGTTGAGGTGCGGGCAACGGAAATTAGCGAGGCGAGGCAAACCGCCAGCTACGCAAGCTATGTCCAATTTATAGATCACGTTTTCTCTGCCTCGTACCCAGGCGGAGCAACAGAACAACATAGCGCCTGGGTACGAGGCAGGCATTTTCTCATGACGTGTTTCCACTTGGTACCAATCGACGGTAGGTGAGTGTAATTTAATTACTCTTTTTATTTATAAATGAATAATTAGCCATCTATCCTCAATAAAAGTTGGAAACACCAGAATAATTGTTTGAAACTATAAAGGACACAAACTTTTTAAAGTAACGTTTTGTGTCGGATACTGATTTATTAAACACGCTAAAATAGCAAACGTATTAATGACAAATGTCCTATATAAAATTGTGTATGAATTTTTAGTTCAAAAATATCTTTTTACAGCCTACGAATTACGGCCTACGCTTCATTGTTTATTGAACGAGATGCCCAAAAATATGTTGATAAGTATATTAACTTACTACAAATTTCTTTGTAAATAACCATTTTTTATATTTGAAATTATTGTTTTCCAAATTTCGCCCCGGAGGTAGGGGTATTTGAGACAAAATTTTGCCCAAACCCACGGGCATTAGTGTCCTTTTGTCAAGGCTGTTTTGACAAATCCCCAGGGTGGCCCGGGGGTCGACCCCCCGGGAAAACCGCTGATACCTGCTTGCTTATTGCTAACACAAAATGTTGCCCATGTAAAAATCCCCCACCAGGGCTTTACATGATATAAACGTTTGCAGCCCCCTTCACTGAGAATTTTATCATAAAAAATATCATATTTAAATAAATAAAAATCTTACAACACTCTCGATGATACTCCATATTTTGCATCTTAGCAGAAAGTTACCAGCCCCACCAAAGAGATCTTTTAGATCTTCTCGGGAGAAATTTAACAGAATGTCGTCATCGACATTGGCAGCTAAAAAATTATAAATAATGCACATGTCATCGGCCATCCCCGGAGGGGGGACCCCGGGCTAGGGCGGGGAAATATGAAAGGAATACACGGAGATTGCGCTGCTTTTATACCCTAGGGAGCGGTGAAAATTCATTAGTTTGTCTCAAAACCTAATTCTGAGGCAGGGCAATTTACGTTCATGACGCCATCTTGGAAACGTATAAAAAAGATAAAGAGACTGGGACCGATCGCTTTTATAAACATGGAGGGCATCACCAATCTCGAAACCAGAGCCAGCAATCCTCTGTGGAGGCTTGCTGAGGCTCTGGGAAACACCGGCGAAAGTCGGGCTCTGATTGGTTGTTTTTCAAAATCCTCGTCCTCAGGATTCAAACTTTGAGCCGTATTTAGTTATATTTGTATTTCAAACATCGTTTAAAATTAATATAAAGTTTATTTCTCTTTGTGTATTATGTTTAAACATATCAATGAAACACATAGCATAACATTAATAAACTTATTATAAAGCTTTCGTAGCTAATTCTCATATGAAATCAAAAGACTATTCTATTTCTGATATTGATATGCTATAAATAACAAAATTAATAGAATAACAACAGCAGCATTACCATATTAGGTCATGATAAGCTGTTGCCTATTATATTTAAAATAACACAACAATCCATGATTTATCGTAATTAAACAAGTTAAAATAAATCACTACCAGTATCTTACAACAATTCAAAACCATGGCAAGTGTTCTTTGAAGAACTAAAGTCGTAATAAGCTTAAAGCTGTGTTACAGTCGATTCTGCGCAGGTCTCAAATGTGTACACATTTTGTAAACATTGTCATAGAAAAATATTACTTAATACTATAAACTGTTAGCATTTCGGAGAAGATGGCTGACGCACAGGAGTGCGAAAATTCTAATTGTTTTTAACTTGCTTATATATTCACATCAAAGCAAGAAATACGGTCAAAAAAGAAACTTTATATCTAAAAAGATGTATCTAAAGTGTGTTTTTTTACGAATATTAGTTATTCTGTTGTGCAATTGTTTCAAAATCAAACTGATATTCTATAATATTCTATAAAATAATGATATTCTATAAACTACAATGAGCGAAGATTACATGTACATGTGTGAATCGAATCACGTTTATAGCGAACAGTGTCAGTACAAACTAATAGCAATAGGTCACTGTCACGTTCTTGAACCCTTCAATTGTTCATACATGTATCAAAATCCTATTCGTGGCATGCGCTTTAGCAAAAACTACCCATACTTTTGCAGGCCCTCTATCGAAAAACAGAAGCCACAACATCAACATATCGTCTCCACATATATCTTCCAGCGAAAAGCTTAATTTCTCCAAGTGCTTCTACCATGTCAGCAACAATGACTCTGATAGTGCGTTTCGACGAACCAATAACCCAAGGAAAGGTTCATGATTAGTTTGGCACTTCCAAAGTTTATTTTACAATGCCGAACATTATATTCAGAATACGTACAATGACTTGCTAACTCGCACCTTTGGCTTTGCCGTGTCGGCCTCTTCCGGATATTTCATTATTAAACGAAGCACACGAAAGAAAAATTCCGAATTAATCAACGATATATCTTTCATTGGTGGTCTGTTAAAATATTTAATTGCTTGTCTTTCAGAAGACAATTAAAAAAAAATTAACTTCACTCCTGGTTCCTTCATTTATAATTTGTTTAGTACATAGCCGTATACTTCATATAATACAATTGTAGTGGATCCAAACCAAAAAAAAAATGTAAACAAAGCCCACACATGCACAGAATCGACTGTAACCCAGCTTTAAACAACAGCATAATTTATGTTTGACGGCAGTAATGTCTCTTTATAAATGTCGAGCGGAGTACTGGATCCAAATGTACTGATTTTCGTGCAAAAGTCGCCGGTGTTTCCCAGAGCCTCAGCAAGCCTCCACAGAGGATTGCGGGCTCTGGTTTCGAGATTGGGGCATCACAGAAAAGGAATTTATAAAGTATGTCAATCAGACTCAATCTAAATGAATTATACATTTGAAAATGGCCATCAGGTCACCATTTTTGTAATCCAATGTTATTTATGACTTGTTTAGTGTACTCTTCGAGTTATTTGAATTGAACATGTTCGAGAATACAATATTTTTTGAAACAAAATTTCATAGTTTGTACTGATATTTTTTTAATGTAGTTTTAATATATTTATATACTGTTCTTAATATTTCAAGGTCCTTGTTGAGCATGGTGAGAGGAGAAAAGTAATTTCCATTGAAAAAGATGCAACGTTTTGACATGACTTCACAGTTTATGTCCAGAAATTGCTCACAACTAATAAATCATTATAAATAAGTACTCATCTTTACAAGCCCCTGAGGGCGGGGGGGAATTGACAGGTATTCTTGCCCCACAGGGTAGGGAAATTTGCACAGTTTTATGGCTGTGAAGGCAAAGTCCCCGCCTTAGCCCGGGTCCCCCTTCCGGGGATGGCCGATGACATGTGCATAACATGACAAAATTAACCACAGCGAAGTTGAAATTAAGTGAGTGATATACACGGTGTATAAAAAAAATAGACAATGCTCTGATTGCTTCGAACTAATACGGATGTATAAAAACACAAGGCTTCTTCTACTCATGGGACAAAATACGTAATCTTCAGACCGGCGGGATTAAAGTTGTCAAAAAATACAACAGAAGATGGGTAATTTGAATTTGAAAGAGTCTACTTTTTTTATACACCCTATATAAACAATTACATACCAATATTCATCCGAAAAAAAAGAAACTTTACATGTCCTTTAAAGTCTTATATAACTACACTGTATAAGGAATAATTTCATAATTTTTCAACAAGTAAACACTGTACCTTGCATTGTTTCAAATGCTTCTTTATCAAGGTCCCTGATTTTATCCATATCTTCCTTTTAAATAAGGTTATTCCAGCGAAGCGTGTCTGGCAATAGAAACAATTCAATATTTAATAAAAATCAATAAAAATCAATAAAAATCATGCTGGCGTGGTCATTTTCAATATTCATATTATTGTAATTTTGTCGTTGAACAAAGCAATTGCAATGTTTGATTCCGACACAAATTGCATCAACTGTTTTTCCTATTTATTGTGCTTACCTTCTTCCCAATAAATGCACTGTTGAACAAAGGTTTATTTTCGGATGCAAATGGATTAAAAATTTTAAAATTTTCAACCACAAAAATCAGTTCCAACTGCTGCATGCCAGAGGAGGTCGGACAAGCAATTAGCGAGTTGTCACGTGAGCTCTCGACCAATGAGATTGCTCTATTTTCCATCGTGTTTTCTGCAGAATTTGGGCAGAAAAATTTGCATTCGACGGAAAATAAATCGAGAAAAAACATTAATATTAAAATTTTCTTGCAAAATTTCATGTGTAATAGTACTACTGCTAAAGATCTGGTGATATCTGCAAAAATCTCTAAGGTAAACGTTATTTTCAATGTTATTTTGATGTTTGAAGTTAGACCACTCCCCTCGACGTGTTGACTCAAGTCAAAACATGTTTACAATGTTTAAAATGAAATATCTAGAATTCCCATGGTTCGATTTTCCTCATTTTTGGCAGCCATCAATAAAAATATATAAGCTTTAAATCTGCTGGAATGATCCCGGTGATCCCCCGGCAGTTTTCGAGATATTGGCCATTGAAGCGACTATTGTCAACTCGACGCTCGCTAAAATGGCGTCTAATACCTTGGAAAGAATTTGCGCCATCAAAGATTATATTTTCAATGAATTTTTGTTAAAGTGTTAAAATATTATTTAGAAGACTTAGGAGTTGTTTCAATATTTTTGTAGAATTTATATCTGTGCGATTTTCAAAGTTTTTTCTGTCTTTGGCCGACGCGACTGGATCGTGTACATATTCCCATACGAGCTGATCGCCTGATCCTGGGGTTTTTGTTGCAAATCGAGCTACGGAATCCTCATCATGGACAACTCAGTGTTATAACAGCCCATTTCAAACCAGCAGAGAGCTCCACTTGTTTTAAAACAATAAAACAAGTTTTTATTGTATTTTTATTGTATTTGTATTGTGGTCAATTTATTGAAATTTAATAAATATTATGCACTAGTCAATTCCAGGAGTAACCATCACCCCCCCCCCCCCTCGGGAACACACCTGGGCATTTGATTTGACTGGTTACGATAGTGCACAGTTAATAGAAGAAGTGTGCCGGGACACAACTAGGAGTAGGAGACTAATGCACGGCCCTTGGGCAAGCTGAGAGTGGAAAATGCCCCACCCCGGGGACGATGAATGCATATCATAGGCATAGTAATTTACTCATTTAATAACATTATACTATTATGCTGCTATGGAATATTATAAAACTTTATTCGCATGGCACAGGTAATAAGTTTTGCATAAGTGAAACCATTTGTCAAATCCCTGGGCCCAATACCTGGCCCCTGTACACATACCCGGCCCCTGTGCACGTATATGACAGGTAAATTCCCGACCCCTGTAAACTGTCTATTAGGCAAATTTCCAGGGGTGTCCCGGGGGGATGGTTACTCCAGGAATTGACCTGTGCAATTATATAAATAGACATCTTCTTGTTTTATTGTTGCATTAATTTTAATCTGAAAAAATTACAAACAAAGTAGGTCAAGTGCATGGATAAATTACTCATTTATTTACTAAAGCACATTTTTACAGTTATGTACTTATTTTGCATGAGTGTACATGACAGATTGTTTTAATTAGATATAGAAAGTTATCATTTATAACCCATGGTTTGTTTAAAAAATGCTGGAAAAAATCTAAAAAGTTAGCCAATTGAAATAATTTATGCACTTCAATAACTTGCTAAACATACTGTAGTTAGTTGCTATTATTTATATAAAAAACATCTGTCAACATACACTCATGCTTTTCCTACCACTTAAGTCTCCCATGCACTAACCATGTCTCTGCAAAATGTTTTGGATAAAATCCTATTTTAAAAAAGTCAATCCTATACTTGATATGCTGAACATATTAGACATCCACGACATCTCTGGCAGCAATTAATGGGTGCGGATACTTGCATAGTTCAGAAGCAATATATAACCAACATGGGGCCATCCAGTTCCATAGTCTAGATCAATTGCTATTGCACTTGGGTCCCTTGGATTCAATGGCTCTGGCCGTATTCTTACATTCACTGGTTTATCTTGTTCATGAGGAGTGAGGTATGCCTTTTCCCACAGATGCACTTGAATGGTACAGCCTGGTTGATTTCTTCCTCCTCATCACTTAACTTGTCATCACTTTCTACCCTATCACCTCTTTCATTATCATATCCATCCTGAACAGGCTCATGACCAGCCAACAACTCAAGTAAATCTCTTTCTACAAAATCATAACAAGAAAATTATTATTTCATGCACCGTCATCTCTAAAATTAGCAATCTTACACAAAAGCACATGTAACCTCTAAATTCTTAATATACCTAACTGTGTTAGGTCTGTGTAATAGAAGGTTAGCACTTTTTTCCATCCAGCAAACCGCCCTATCGATTTTCTAAAGTCGTTTTTTTTATTAATTCGGTTAGGGTTAGAGTTAGAGTTGCGGTTAGGGGTTAAAGTAGGGGTAGGGTTTGGGTTAGTTACATAGCCATTTAACACCTCTTCTATCTTCCGAAAATGACGTCAGGTCAGTTTGCTGGATGGAAAATAGTGCTAACCATAATAGAACAACACACAAACAATATTTAGATGAAAATTGAAAAATATTAAACTACAGTTTGCACATTTAAACAACCATCTACAACTAGATACAAACAGGCATCATACTCAGCAAAAATTTATAAAATACATACAAATAACAATACCTTCAGACTGATCTGAAAACCAATGTCCATCATCAATTGTATTCGCTGTCAACTGATATGATCCACATCGAAATCCAAAAGCATATGCTGGATGTTTTCATTAGCAAACTCATCAGGAATAGGGTCAAACTAAAGGGTTGAATTTAATATTTGAAATATTACGCCATAATTTGTACAGTGTATTTATAAAATTACAGTACAATATTGAAAACAGCAAAGCGGAAATTTGAAACAAGTCAACTGTATTGCATTGTAGGATACCAACCTTAAATACTGCGCTTGTTTTCACGATGATGATACACGGAGATTCCATCCAACTTAAAAAGAACAGCCTTGCTATTGGAAATAACACAATTCCTTCGCGGATTATTTTATATAAAGCTATAAAAAGACAGCACGTCCCATGCAATTTAATATAAGGTAAACTTGGTATAGTAACTCACACGTCATAATGAGGATCGCAACAATACAGCAATAACATGCTATTTTCACGAAGTATTGCAGCCTGACAATCTTGTCTTTCGAATGCTTTCATATTTGTTTACTCAGAGAGATGTTCACTCCACGACAGTCAAAGAGTCATTGAAGCCACGCCTGGAATTAGGCGCTCAAACCCATGATGCTTTGCGGCCTGCTTGTCCGACCTCCTCTGGCAGCCTGACATTCTTGTCGTTCGAAAGCTTCCATATTGGTTTTGTATTCAGAGAGATGTTCACTCCTCGACAGTCAACAGTCAATGAAAGTCACGCGTGGAATTAGGCGCTCAATACCCATGATGCTTTGCGGCCTGCTGTCCAACCTCCTCTGGGGGGGGTGCATATTTTATTGATAATGTTTTTAAAAAAACCACCGCCCCCCCTGAGACGTAATAAACGATCGGTCCCCAAGCTGCTCCCAAGTCCCAACTGCCCAACATAAAATAAATTCCTTGATTCTCATCACCGCCCGACTGAATTTTAAAATCCTCGTGAAAACGTTTTATATTTCGTTATACAATATAAATGTACCGCCCGACAAAATAATTCAAGACAGTTAATTTTTTATATTTTATATAGAGTTTTTATTGCCATTTTAAACTTCCAATTTGAAACAAACAGAATTTTGAATGAAATTTCATTGTATTTTAAAGAAACTCAGTCATTCTGTCATTGTTCGTGGAGATACGAACTATTGATATATAATTATATAAATATAAAATATAAAAAATAAATCTCCCACTGTCTTCGACATTTCAAAGTGTAGACTGTGTCTAGTGATGAGAATCAAGGAATTTATTTTATGTGTTAATATAAACCAAGCCCGTTTAGCTGCCTTTTAAGCTCAAAATACAAAGCATGCAAGTCTATACTACAGATTCATCATAGTCAACAACCAAACTGAAAGTTCTGAACCTTATAGAACGATAGTTTTTATTTGTTTACAACTATACATATTCAACGGGCATGGTATATAAGAGTTTAACTGTTATTTGATAATTACTGCATCAACCGGCCCCTTGTTTATACTTTGGAGGTTCGTATATATTATAAATATCTATCAAGTATCTTTGGTTCAGAACATGATAGGCCTATATGAAAATCCCACTGTTCGATTCAGTGAAGAAATATCTCCTAATTTCTATCGATAGTTTTAGTTTCTATCGATAGTTTTAGTAAAATGTCAACATTATTGCGATTTATGGCCTTTGAAAGTCAAGCGAGATCGTATATTATCAAATTAATACGCATGTAATTGTCTGAACGAAAATATAGACTAGCCCATACCTTTCGCCGATCATAACTTCGGCCCCTTGGCCGGACGTATCTTCTTTGTTAAATATTCTTGTTCGAATCTCTATCAAAAACACTATTTAGAGTGTTATTTTTTAGCTTGTATCTTTTAATTTGCTTCTTTTATTATGTTATTTGATTTCTGGGTCTGACTTGACGTGACTAATTTCAAAACGCAGAGTTTCAAAACGTCAAAACATTTGGTTAATGATTAACATTTAACCGAATTTAGCCGTTGATTGACAACTACATAAAAATACTAACCAATCCGTTTTTCCCGTTCACCAGCGGACAGGTAATTCAAAAACCCCTAGTTTTGCGGCAGACGGTATTTCCTTTGCCTCCCTAATTTTCGCTGCCTGTAGAAAGACCGCCTGCCGCGCAGGCTAGGGGAACAAGCACTCTTTCTTCCTTGATTCTTAAGCTCAGCTGTAAAGTTTTCAATTTTGTATACCATTTCAAGTCCGTTTCCATTATTTTCCTATCAATTTCCCAATTACTTAATTAAAGCAGTAAAGGCCCGTTCTGTAAGGGACTGCTCATTATTTATTGTACAGGGGGAGACTGAGGAGAAACTCTACAGTTAATCAGTTATAATATTTTTTTCATTGCCCCTCGTCTTAAGACAACTAAAATTTTAAACGCCCCACCCCCAATAGGCAAAACAATAACATAAATTCCCCCCCCCCCACACCCCCTCTAGCTCTTTATCTTTATTTAGAGAAACAAAAACTCTAGCTCTTAATTTAATTTAGAGAAATAAAAATAGATAATGGGGACCAATAGACAATTCCCATTATATAGACTAATTTTTTATCTTATGCCAAAAATTTATATTCCCGGAAAGGCGGGCATACTAAAATTAGTAAAATTGCAAAGTTTGGTTGCGAAATGTTGTAAAATGTGTAGAAAATATAGCCTTGCAAAGTTTGCAAAGTTTGTATACTTTTGCCTATTAAATTACTATGATGGCAAAAAATGTAAAATTTCATGTTCTCTTATACAAAAAATACACTATACCACTAGAAAGATCGCAAAAACTATATATAAGACAATTAATCGACTAATGCGATTTTCAAGCCGATTCTGAATCAAAGATGGTTCAAGTTGGCAAAATGGGAACTAATTAACATTAATTTGGTCATTTTTGCATTTTTTAGCATTAAAAACGCGAAATAGGATTGGAAAAACGTAGAACTGATTTTTTGTCTTGTATATAGTTTTTTTACGCTCTTTCTAGTGGTATAGTTTATTTTCGTATAAGAGAACATGAGATTTTACATTTTTTCCGATCATAGTAATTTAATAGGCAAAATTTTAAAATTCTCTAATTTTTGGCTATAAAGCAAAAATCAGAAGTGGTAACACATATAATCTTGTTTACCAAGGCTTGAACTATAAGAAAATGCCTGTTACCAGCTTCTAACATAAAGTTGCCATCCAGTTGTACAAAATGATGACTTGGCCAGCCGTCTATGTGGAGAGGTGCGCACCTCCCCTGAGATCGTTTGGCACCTCCCCTGAGAATTTTTGCACCTCTCCTGAAAGGTCATGCACCTCCTCACCTTGGGAAAATTCCAATGATGGAACAAAGTGAAAATGTGATGGTTGCTTAGGATCTACACTTCGTGATGTGTGAAAGTTCTCTCTGTAAAATTGAAACAGTGATAGCCATTCATCTCTAT